ACTGCAAAGCCAATTAAACCGCAAGGTCGGCAGTTCAAGCTCACCAGCTGCTCCTTGGAAACCCTATACAGAGTCACTATGGGTCGGAACCGACTCAACGGCACTTAACAACAACAACATAGAGTCAGTATGGACTCCTGGTGTGGCGCTGTAGGATCATTACTGGACTACGAACCACAAGGTTGGCAGTTCAAACTCATCAGCTGCTCTTTGTAAACCCTATAGTGGGTTGCTGAGTCGGAATTGACAAGATGGCACTTGATGACAACAACAACAGAGAGTCAGTATGACTTAGAAAGGACTCAGTGGTACCTAACAACAACAACAACAGCCTAGTTTCATAGGACACCACTGTTGGTATGAAACCAAAGCAAACCCAGTGCCACACAGACAATTCCAACTCATAGCAAGTCCGTACAGGGTTTCCAAAGCTAAAAATCTTTACGGGAGAAGAAAACGTCATCTTTCTCCCACTGAGCAGCTGGTGGGTTTGAAACACAGATTTTGAAGTTGGCAGTCCAGGGCTCCTATAGTGTTACCTGGGCTGTTTGCTGGAATTATAAAGTAGAAAAAGTTTTAATTAATGAAAATAAGCCAGTTGTCGTGTTGCTTCCAACTCATGGTGACCCTGTGTGTGTTCCACAGGGTTTTCATGGTTGTGATATTTTATAAACAGAACGTCAGGCTTTTCTTCCAAGGCATCTCTGGATGGTCCAAACTGCCAAGTTTTTAGTTAGCTTCTCAGCACTTAACTGAACTGCCCGGGACTCGCAGAGATGCCGATAAAGGAATTAAAAACAAAAACCAAACCACACCTGCTGAGTCTATTCCAGGGCATACTGACTCTGTCGGATACAGTACACCGGCCCCATGGTGTTTCCAAAGCTGTAAATCTTACAGATGCAGACTGCCTCTTTTTCTCTCAGGGAGCAGCTGGTGGATTTGAACTGCCAACCCTTTCATTAGCAGCTGAGATTTTAACACGATGCCACCAGGGCTTCTTATACAGAAATATACCAAAAGCCAAACTAAACTCATTCCCATCGAGTCGACTTTAACTCACAGCCACCCTCCAGGATAGCGTAGAACTGTCCTATAGGATTTCTCAGGCTGTAAATCTTTATGGGAGCAGACAGCCTCGTCTGTCTCTGGAGGAGTGACTGGTGGGTTTGAACACCAACTTTTTTGTTTGCAGCTGAGCATTAAACTACTGAGCCACCGTATAGGAAGGTTGTTATTGTTAAGTGCCATCAAGTCAGTTTTGATTCATAGCAACCCTGTATGGGATTTCCGAGGAGCAGCTGGTGAGTTTGAACCACCAACCTTGTGGTTCAAACCAACCTGTCAGGCTAGTTACATTAATCTGCAGTGCCACACCAGTACTCCATGTGGAATACAGAGACATAGAAATGGGTTGGTAAGGCTGGAGTCCTGGTGTGGTGGTGTGGAATAAAGCACTGGACCGCAAGGTCAGTTTGAACCACAGGGTTGGTGGTTCAAATTCACTAACCACTCCCTGGAAATCCTATACAGAGTTGGGATGAGTTGGAACTGATTCGAAGGCACTAAAACCACAGCAACAGTGATGAAGGCTGGAGGAGTAGACTGTAAGCTGAACCTCCATCCAATGACGGCTCCCATAATAACACCATGGCGCTGATTTACCCAGGAAACCTCAACTCCACCACTGTGGAAGATAGGGGTGCAGGGACCACACCTAGAATCAGAACAACCGTCACAGCTGCCAAGCTGTCTTCCCTGTAGCTGCACCTGCCTCTTACCACCTGAACTTGCACATTGAACCATGAACCACCATTGCCCCCTAGTGTCAATTGATGTTGGCTGAAATAATCCTGGAAATTCGTACAATCCTGACAGACATGGTGTTTGATTCTAATAAGTGTTAACTGCTAAGCAGGGCGTCTTCCCCTTTTTGGAGATGAGGGGACTGGAGCTCCAAGAGGTCAGAGAACAAAATTAAGGCCATACGACTACGTGCAAAAGTGGAAAGTCAGTTTAAAATGGTGCAAATGATTCACGTGCTCATCTGCTAACTGGAAGGTTGAGTCTTGGGGTTCACCTAGAAGTACCTTGGGAGGAAGCCCTGACGATATACTTCCAAAAAATCTGCCATTAAAAACCCTGTGGAACTAGTCAGAAAGAGACTGGAGGTACCCAAGACCCCAGCACTCTTCAGGTTTGGAATGGAACGCACTTGGATGGCCCAATTTTCAACTAAGCAGTAGATGGGTATATAGGAGGGACAACAACACTACTAGGGTGTGCTCGTCATGGAATGGTCCACCATTCAAGATGAAAAGGGCAACATTTACCTGAGGACAAAGTTGAGAAGGGATGGGAAGGAGGCTAGGCTGGAAATAGGAAAAATGAGGAAGAAGTGGGATAATTTATTACATGAAGGGGATTATAATCATTGAGAGAAAACAAAGTGGATGTGCACGCTTTGTGAAAAAGTTTCAATAAATTAATAAAAATAAAATAAGCAATGCTTTAAAAAAAAAATCCTATGGAACACAGTTTTACTCGGACACACGTGGCGTTGCCATGAATTAGAATATCCTCCTTAGCAGCTGGAAACACGAGTAAGGTTTTTGTTTACCAGACTCCATACTGGTAAACAAGTAACTGGAATTCACTTGGTGTGGTGCTGTAAGATCAGCGCTGGACTGTGAACCACAAGGTTGACAGTTCAAACCCACCAGCTGCTCTTTGGAAACCCTATATTGCTATGAGTTGGAACTAACTCAGCGGCAATTAACAACAACAAATGCTATACTTAATGTGGAAACAAATCATAGAAGATCAGAAGATGGAGCTACTTTTTAATAGAAGAAAACTTAGGTACACTTCAGAGTAGACATTTGAGTTGTTTTGACAGATGAATAGGAGTTTGCCAGGAGGCAAAAGAAGAATAAAACAGTTCTAGCAGCTGGAAAGCACCAAGGGGGTGTGGTCTGGTAGTAAACTTCTGCAGAACTGGAAGAATTCTAATTTTGGTGGATTTAAATATGGAAATTTTTTTAGTTGAGATATTATATATACCTATCGACTCCACGGCGCATAACCGACCAACCAACCAATAGTAAAGTAAAAGGAGCTTCGAATCGGGCCGCGAACCTTAAAGTCAGTAGTTTGAAACTACCAGCTGTTTTGTGGGAAAAAGATGAGGCTTTCTGCTCCCATAAAGATTTATAGCTTTGGAAACCCTGTCCAGGGTCGCTGATTTGGAACTGACTCCATGGTACATAACCACCACCATGGTAAAGTAAATACCTATAGTATATACTTATAGTAAAGGACCCCTGGTAGCATAGTAGATTACAAGCTGGACTGCTAACAGCAAGGCCAGCAGTTCAAATCTACCAGTCACTCTGTACTAGAAAGATGAGGCTTTCTGCTCCTGTAAAGACTTACAGCCTTGGAAACCCTATCCAGGGTCGCTAGGATTTGGAACCAACTTGATGGCACTGAACCCCCATCACCATAGTAAGATAAGGGTCATTTGTCTTACAGATATTTTGTGATGGTGGTTGTTGTTTGGTGCCATCGAGTCAGTTCCGACTCATAGTGACCCTGTGTACAACTGAACAAAACACTGATTGACCCTGTATCGTCTTCACAGTTGTTAAATTTGAGCCCATTGCTGCTGCCACTGTGTTAATTCATCTTGTTGGGAATCTTCCTCATTTTCACTGACCCTCTGATTTATCAAACAGGATGTCCTTCTCTGGGGATTGGTTTCTCCAGTACCATGTCCAAAGTACATGAGGCAAAGTCTCACTATCCTTGCTACTGAGAAATATCCGGTTGTACTTCCAGGCAGATGTTTGTACTTCTGGAAGTCCATGTTGTTGTTGTTAAGTGCTGTCAAGTCGGCACCAACTCACAGCGACCTTACACACAACAGAACGAAGCACGGCTCAGTCCTATACTTGTGCCAACCTCACAATGGCAGTCCATGGTATAGTCAGTACTTTTGTCAACATCGCAATTCAATTGATAATCATAAATCATAATTCAATGCATCAATTCTTCAGTATTCCTTCATTGTCCAGCTTTCACATGCATATGAGACAACTGGAAATACCATGACTTGATTCATAGTTCTCCTGGTGACAGCTTTGCTTTTGCAGCAAATTTTTCCACTGCAATACATCCTTTGATTTCTTGATTGCTGTTTCCATGGGTGTTAATTGTGGATCCAAATAAAAAATAAAATTCTTGACAATTGTAATCTTTCCTTCATTTAACATAATGTTGCAAAATTTTTTTGTTTTGTTTACATTGGGGTATAACCCGTGCTGAAAGCTGTATTGTAGTTTTTGATCTTCACCAGTGAGTGCTTCAAGTCTTCTTTGCTTTCAGCAGGCAAGGTGTGTCATCTGGATATCACAAGCTTTTAATGAGTCTTCCTCCAATTCTGATGATGCACTCTTAGATTATTTGCTGAGTGTACAGATTGAATACGTTTTTGGGTTTTTTTTTTTTTTTTTTAAATACATGTAAACATTATGTGTCCATTACCCAGGGGAATTCATAGAATACTTACAAGATCCCAAGAGTTTCCCTCTTGTCTCTTTCCATATGTACTTGCCTCCAACACTCTCCCTCTAAAACAAGCCGGATTTTTTACAAGAGGGGTGTGTGTGTGTGCATGAAATATGAAATTGCAAAGCCTTCGATCTCATCCCACAAAGTGTTCGCCACCTTCTCGGACATTCTTAAGAAGACATTACACTGAGTAAGGAGGGTTTCATTGCACTGCCACTTTCCCTTGGGTTCCACGTGATATTTAGGAACGCATGGACAACATTTTTTGCCCTTCGGAGCCGCCGTCCACGCTCGGTCTGCACGGAGTCGGCATGTCCCTCGGCGGCCGCCGTGCGTCCGTTACGTGGCAGCTGTCGACGCCCGCCAATCCGCTGTGCCCGCATCAGCCCCCTCGGGTGGTGCAGCCGGAAGGGGCGGAGCTTAGGCGGCGGTGGCTGAGGCGGCAGCAGTGGCGGCGGCTCAGGAGGTCGCGGGGTCGTGGCCTCGGCCTCAGCACCACCATGGTGACTCTCGCCGAGCTGCTGGTGCTCCTGGCTGCGCTCCTGGCCTCGGTCTCGGGTTACTTCGTCAGCATCGACGCGCATGCCGAGGAGTGCTTTTTCGAGCGGGTCACCTCGGGCACCAAGATGGGCCTCATCTTCGAGGTGGCCGAGGGCGGCTTCCTGGACATCGACGTGGAGGTGTGGGCGCGCTGCCCGTCGCCGAGGCGGCATCACGCGCAGATCAGGGCCTGCGCAGGGAGCGGGGCCAGTGGTCGCGGTCGGGGTCCGGGGATGGGTTTGGCCGCCCCCGCCCAAGAGTCCCCCTAACGGCCCCTTCCCCCTCGGCCCGCCTGGATTTTGGGCTGCGGGGTCCCCTCGGGGGACGGAAACGTTACTTCTCGCTATGGGCCTCCTGCCGGCGAGCGGGTTCCCGGGGATCCCCGACGGATCCCAGTGGGGACGTGGCGTGGGAACTTTTGAAGGAGTCGTTCGAGAAGAGTTTGAGGCATGCTAGGCAGGCGTTGGCCGAGTTTCCGCCTTTTTTACGAAGCAGCCGGGATGTCCCACCTTTTCTGCAGGAACCTCGTGTAGCCAGCCGGCTGGGATGGAGGACAGGAGAGGGCGCGCGTTTTGGGGGCGATGACCACTGACTTCAGTGTCTGGAGAAAGACATCTGCAGGCTTTCGGTCACCCCCTTTAAGCCCAAAGAGGGCTGTGCGCCCACAGACAGAAGGGATATTTAAACTCGTCTGTAGGTTAAGGTCTTGCCCTTAGGTCGGGGTAGATGTCTTTACACGACGTCCACAGACGTCCACAACATTGATGTTAGTGCCCGTCCGTTGGCTCCTGCCCCGCAGTCCTGTGTAGGGTTTCCGAGGACCAGCTGGTGGGTTAGCAGTCAAGTGCTTAATGCTGCAGCGCCACACCAAGACCCCTGTATGACACTTCTGCTACTGGTGTTAAGCCTTCCAGGTGGTTCTGACTCACAGCCCCCCAGGAGAGGGCCTCTTTCCAAGGAGCAGCTGGTGGGTTTGAACGGCCGACCTCGTGGTTCGCAGTCCAGCGCTGAGCCTCCAGCGCCAGCCCAGGATTCCTGCATCCATGGGTGATGGCAGGAGAGGCTGATAACCGGAGACGGCTGACACGGTGCAGAGCTGTTTCTGGTCTAATTCTTGCCTTTAAAAAAAGAGGCAGGCGTCTCAGAACCCCGGATTCCTCCCTTAGTAGTAATTAGGAAAACCTTGAAACCTCCAACTAGATAAACAAAACAAAAAACTATTGGTTTGAAGCAGGCCATTAAAAAAAAAAACAAAGAAATTTAATGGTTCTGATAGTCTCAACCAGGTTTGTGTTTGGTGCTATTTGGCTGCTTGGAAGCACTAATGTAGGCCATGGCTTTGGTTTTTGAGGGGTGTATCTTCCAGTTGGAAGGATAAATGTAGTTAGACCTGAAAGGGATTTTAAAAGCGCCATCCACCCCAGCCTTGTTTCCCTGAGTAGGAGACCTATAGCTCACAGAGGGTACTGTCAATGAGATAGAATGAAGTGAACATGAAAATTACATTTTATCAGTGACCTTTTTGACTGCTAAAAGCTCTGGTAGCATAGTGGTTGTTAGTCAAGCTGCTAACCTCACGATAAGCAGTTTGAAACTATCAGCGGTTCTGCAGGAGAAAGATGAGGTTTTCTTCTCCTGTCATGATTTATAGCTTTGGAAGCCCTGTATGGGGTCGCTATGAGTTGGAACCGACTCCAAGGCATAAACCACCACCAACCAGAAGAGATTACTCTGAGGCTTGAATCTGTAAATCTTTCCTGGAATCTCATCTGTTTTTCTTCTGCCTCCAGATCACAGGGCCTGATAATAAAGGAATATATAAAGGAGACCGAGAATCTAGTGGGAAATACACATTTGCTGCTCACATGGATGGAACGTATAAGTTTTGTTTTAGCAATAGGATGTCCACCATGACTCCAAAGATAGTCATGTTCACCATTGATATTGGAGAGGCCCCAAAGGGACAAGACATGGAAACAGAAGGTGAGATCAATATTCAGAAGGTTAATAACACATTACATGAGCTAATTTTCACTCTACTTTTTTTTTAATCCATCTGAATGGATTACTTAGATTTTTAATTTCAGCTTCATTCACTGTCCTTGAAACCAAAAAACTGTTTTGTAAAATACTTTGTATTTTTCTGATTCATGTAATTAACAACACCACCTCTAAGTTAATGTTCATTTATCGATTTTTCTGCCTGCCCCTCTGGCAGTTTTTGTCAATCATTTGTTCCCTTGACAACATGCAGGTTACACATGTCTCAGGTTGTCCTGTGAATTTCATACTCCTGGTATAAATGAGGGGGCTTCCAAAAGTCTGGGTCTAAATGGAGTGAAAAGATAATGAAAATTTCCCACAAACTTTTTGAAGCTCCTTGCGTATCTTTATTTGTTTACTCATGTATGTGACTACTGTAGCTAAGCTTTCTGTTGGTATTTTGTGTTTATATTTTGCACTTCTCTTTAGGTGGTGGAGATACCTGGGACGGTATGTGGACAGCTCTTTGATAGTGTTTGCCTTTTTGTGCGTATGTTTGTTGGCTGATGCCTTATTTCTGCTTTCCTTTTTTCTAACTTCAGTTTGTTAGCATGAGAATGTTTTTCCTCTTTAAAAAGAAATCCGACAACTAATTTACTCTTTTTTTATTTGGTTGATAGTAAATAAGTTTTGTAGTTTTGTTGGATAAGCACTGGGTAAGCTGATAGCAGTTCAAACCCACTAGCCGCTCCTTGGAAACTCTATACAGGGTCACTATGAGTCAGAACGGTGACTTGATGGCATTCAATAGCAACCACAGATATGAATTAGGTCATTTTAAAAGGAAAACCCAAAGCAAAGCCATTGCCGCTGAGTCACTTCTAATTCATAACAACCCAATTCCATTTCTGAGATGATAAATTCTTATGGGAACAGGTAGCCTCATCATTCTCCTGCAGAGTAGCTGGTGTGTTTGAACCGTTGACCTTGCAGTTAACCCAGTGCTTAACTCCTTGCACCAGTAGGAAACAACACGAATGACACTTCCGGAGTAATGTCTTTGTTTCTTTAAAATGAATGAAGGGTGGAAACTCAGCTGCAACTGGACAAGTGAAAGTCTTGCTTAAACGTAGCTTGTAGAAGCTCAAATGGTAGCCTGTTATAGAAGAAGCATGTTTTAGTATAAAATATTTCTAACTTGAACTATGGTTGAATTTGAAGTGCAGTTTTAGGAGTTCTGTCTTGATAAAATGATAAAAACTCCTTCAAACATATGTTACAATTAGAGTGATTGTTACTGCTCAGCTGACCGGGAATGAACCTGGAATTGGTCTTCTAAGTTGATTACTTATCAGGAGCTAGAACATTCCCCCACTACAATGTGTGTCAGAAATTTTGGGAGCTAGTATTTTGTTCAGCACATTATGTCATGTTAGTATGCTAAACCTTGTGCTAGATACTGAGCAATTAGTATAATACTAACAAAGTCCAGTACCAGTTACTGTCCAGTTGATTCTGAATCCTGGTGACCCTACATGTGTCAAAAGTAGAGCTAGGCGCCAGCGGCAGTTCACAAGCTGATTTTTGGAAGTAGAGCGCCAGACTTTGTTTTAAGGTGACTCTGAGTGTACTTGAACCTCTAACCTTTTCATTAGCAGCAAGCATGTTAACTCTGCACCCTCCAGGGACTCCCCTAACAAGGACAAGGGGAACTAATTCATCATGTTTTGTCATTTGTCGATTTCAGAGACATACTATTCACTAGATCCTATGCTCAACCACTTTCCAATTCCAAAGGAGCGTTAGGAGTTATGCAGGACTTTGTGTGCTTTTGTTTTGTGCGAGTTGGTGCTGTCTCTTTAGAAAAGATTGGCTGATAAATGTGAATATTGACCTGTTCATAACCCTTTAACACAATATCTATAATGTTTGTTTTTGCTTGTTAATATAAATAAATGGCAGCTGTCAAAGGAGAGGTTCCCTCTAGAGCAGTGGTCCGTCTCTCCCCATCCCCAACATTTAGCAGCCTTATGATTGGCTTGTGAATTGTGCTACTAGCATCTAGTGGGTGGAGGCCTGGGAGGCTGCTGACCTGACCAACCTGCAGAGAGTCATCTGGAATGTCACCAGGGCCACCCCAACCTGTGAAACCCTGCTCTAAATGTTCCATGGTGTACAAGGGCTTCCAGCCCAACTCCCCAGAAACTGTCGGGCTCTTTGGTTTCTCTTTAAGAAATGTAGGATGATTTGTACAGTCTAGAAGCCTAGGTGAGGCCCAGCCTGGGCAGCAATGAAGTGGCCTCCTTACCCCTCTAGTAGGAACTTCCCTTTTGCTCTATATTTTTCTTGCTCCTGTCTGCTTAGCATCATAACATAGCACGGCCTAGAGACGGGCATTTACCTGTCATTACTGTACGTGGAACTTGTCTTCTGTTTTTGGTTAAAGAGGAGACCTGGTTGAAAACCTTGTGCAGGTGAGAGCTTGTCTGTATGCACAGTGTCAGTGCTGTCCACTGCTGAGCCCTGACCACGGGCCTGAGATAGGGCGACAATGTTCTTGGTGTGGGTTTTCACAAGACTATCTCCAGGCTAAGCTTCACAGAGATGAAAAATCTGTTTGGGAACACTACGGTTATATGATCTTATAAGAGTCAGTTCTGGTTTTGTTTACATGTTGGTAAGTATAGGATGTAGTTTTAAAAACTATGTATCTTGCTGCCCACCCCGTCCCGTTTCCTACTTCTCTCTGGTTAGTCATCAGTGTCTTGTACTTCATTTAGCAGCGACTCATTAGAAGACATATTTTAGGGTAAATTATTTTTGTGTAGCTAGTAAGCATTATACAGTATGCTTCCTATCCTGAAAGATGTTTCTCTGCTGGAGATGGACTTTGCAAAATGCTGTGAGAATTAAACTGCCGTCAGTGGTTCATGTCCATGGTCCCAAATGGTGGGATCATTTCTAGAAACGACTTCTTTTGTTTACTTTCTCTGAGGAGCATTTTTAATGAAATTAATTTTAATTAAACAGGTGTTTTGCACAAACGGACTGCCAGATAAATGCTAATCTGTTTTGAAATCCTCCTCTAGCTCACCAGAACAAGCTAGAAGAAATGATCAATGAGCTAGCAGTGGCGATGACCGCAGTGAAGCACGAGCAGGAGTACATGGAAGTGCGGGAGAGAATACACAGAGCCAGTGAGTTCACGCCAGCCCTCTGCAGCATTTTCGGGGCTGCCCACGAAAGCTTGCCAACATGTGTTAATATGAAAGCGCCTAGGCAGGGTGGAAGGCTAGGCAACAGTTCGTAGTAATGGAATTGGGATCACTAAATTGCACATGTGACAAACATTGAATTGGTAAATGTGGTATGTATACTTTTAAAACAATAAAGAGGGAAGAAAGAATTCTGTGGTACTGGGGAAGGACCTAGGTAGAGATACTCATTGAGTACACATGTTTATAGAGCTTTGTACTCGAGCAGTTTATTATTGTGAAATTCATTTTAAACCAAAAAAAAAATGGTATTAAGATTCATAATAAGTTTTAAGTAAGAAGGGAAAAGCATCTCATAAAGTGAATATTGCATTGATTTTCATCACAGCCTTGAAATTCAGGTGACAGTGGAATAATGTTATTGTAAGCAGAGATTCAGTTTTCTTTTTCTGAATCAGAAGTTTTAGGCTAGTTAGGATAGAAAACATGACTCTGAGCAGCCACCAGGTAAAGATCATCGTGACTTCCCAAGTCTGAATTGGCAACTTGGCATGTATTTTTCTAGGAACCCAGTGGTGGTGGGAATAAGCCTGTGTGGCCCATGGTAGGGCATCAGTTATTCTGCTTTTGCATTACAATTACGAGACGGCACACAGACCAAGTACCGTGCCTCAGGTCCAGGTTCACACCCGTTGTTCAGTGCGTGTCAGCCTGGAACCAAGTCCGTTGAAGCTCACAATGGTGTCCGTCAGGTGGTGTCATTCTGAGGTTGGGCTCGAGAGAAGAGCGACTCAAATGTATAAGCACAGTGTGAATATCTTCTAGGTATGGATTTGATTCTTCCCACCCTCTTATATCCATTGATGCCAGTTACAGAAAGGAACTTTCAGAAGGTAGAGCACAGAATTCACTTGTCTTGGCAGAAGAACATGTAAATAGAAGAGACTAGAGAAGAGCCCTGCTCATCCCTCCCCATTTTTTAGGGGCTGGAGTGGGGCATGGCGTGGGTTGAGGCTTGTGTATACACTCCTCTGCTGCCTCCTCACCTGCTGCCACCTTCCCCTTACCTGGCAGGGATCCATTTGTTGATTACCTTATTTCCAGATAGGGCCTAGCCCCTCCCTGGGTGAGAAGGGCACTGAACCCAGTCTGAGACTAAGGGTGCTCACCGATGGTAAGTTCTCATTAGTTAGCAATTGGAGAAGAGCAATGGTTGAAAAGGGCCGGTTTTCCAGTCTGCGGATCCCTGGCTTTAGTCTCCTACCTTCAGTTTGCCCTGAGATACTCCTGTACTTGTTTGTGTCACACTTAGTGGACTTGTGAAATGCCTTCGAGTCAGTTCCAATTATAGAGACTTTGTTTAGGGTTTCTGAGAAGTGACTGGTGGGTTTGAACTGTAGACTTTGCAGTTGGCAGTCCAGTGCTTATCCTATAGCTCCACACCAGGACTCCATAGAGGGTATTAGCAATGTATAGAATAAGATTCTCTGATTCTTAGTTCAATTTTGCAGCAGCAAGTGGTTTTCTCAGTGTAGTTAGTTTTAGTGCTTCTTCTTCCAGCATTTTCTAAGGAACATTGTGGTGGGACCTTTGTTTGGTATA